TAAAACAGACATTTAAAATGAAAACTGCACTGCATACTGTATACTTCATATTCTATTTAAAGTCCCCCTAATATTATCCCTTAAAACTCACATTTGATCACCAAAATTACACATTTAATGGTTTCCTTTAAAAAACTGTCATGCCTTATAAAAATGCAGCCTAATTTAGTATATGTGGTTTTATGAATATGCAAATGAGCCCCGCCTCCACTCACTCACTCAGAGATCCACTGGTTGACGATCACACGTTGATCTGATTGGTTACAAGGTCGTTTGTGACGTCAGAAATACCAGCAATTTTAAATTGTGTTTTTGAGACTTTGGTTCACTGCAGTTTTAAGCAGAAAATACTCAGCAATGCTGTCCACTTATGAATTTACACATGGTTTGTCTTAAAGCATATTAAAAACAACACAAAGACTCATAAGCTGGATTTTCACCACAGGTTTTAAAGTGTTACAGCACATATGCAGCCAAGTTCTGATTAAAATAAGGCCAAATAGACAAATTGAGAAAGAGAGCGAGAAAAATCTCTCTCTCTCTCACACACACACACACGCAAGCAGCCAATACAGTAATGCGTATGTGTGTGTGTGAGTGTGTGAGGTGGGAAGAGGCTGTCATAGAGAGATAGGCCGGGCTCTGGATCAATAGGTTTACTATGGCCGCTGGCCAGCGGTTGTTTCCATGTTCTCTTAGGCTGGGATTCACTCATCAATACTTGCATTGGGTCTCTGGAGCTGCAGGGCTGCACCAGTAATCAGGGATATTTTTAGAGGCCTAACACTCTTTCTGGCAAGGTTATAGCACTGGCCTCTGCTGTCTCGCTCTCTATATCTCTCTGTAGCCGCCAGTGATCACTAACTAACCCAACTGAGGCTACTAACTTAACGATGACAGTGGCCGTTTTCATAAACATGAAGCTTTTACAGAAGACATTATTCAGCTCAAGTCAGTTCAGTGTTGATTCAGTTCAGTCCAATAATAGTGACTCGACAGTCGATTCAGTTATAACGTTTTAGCATTAATTGTTCCCAGCGTTACTCGTCGTAATTGCATTAAAAATTGAATTATAGAGCTCTCTAATTGTAATTCTAACTAGTAAGAATTCAATTGTAGAACTTAGCTCTCTAATTGTAATACTAGTAAAAATGCAATTATGACGAGTATCGCTTGGTACAATTTAAGCTAAAACGGCTTGCCATAGTTATAAAGCATCTCTCCTGAGGACTGAAGAGTCGTTATTCAGTTCAATTCAGTTCTCATCCGATATTAGGAGTGCATTGATAATATTACTGAAAATTAAGTGTCTTTTAAAGGGATACTCCACTTTTTTTGTTTGAAATAAGCTCAATTTATAACTCCCCCAGAGTTAAACTGTTGAGTTTTACCGTTTTTGAATCCATTCAGCCGATCTCCGGTTCTTGCAGTACCACTTTTAGCATAGCCTAGCATACAGCATTGAAGTGGACAAGACAAATAGCATTTCTCAAAAAAAACAAAAAATGACCAAAGAGTTTCGATATATTTGAAAGCTTTGCCCAAACAATTAAACCAAATGTGAAAGAAGTCTAACGTAGAGTAAATGGCCGTGTCCGAAATCTTTCACTCCACTCAAACCACTACTCCCTAGGGAGAGTAGTGGTTTGAGTGGAGATTTCACTCCACTCAAACCACTTTCTGTGCCCCTATGTAGTGGGTAGGGAGTAGAGCACTACAGCATAATACAAACACCACTTTCGGAAACTACTCGATCGTCTCTCGGCACCATTGATTACGTCATTGCTGTCGCCCGTCTGCCATTTTTATGATCAGCGCAATGCATGATGGTATGTAGGGCTTGGGTTAGTGACCATCGTTTGTACACTACTTTTCAAAATGCATTCTGGGATACATTAAGTGGACTATATAGGGTATAATAATCATCACTATACATTCGGACAGCACTACAAACTTTATCACTAATCTCTTCTGCTCACCAGGGCTGCGTTTTACAGTTTTTGCCCATTGCTTGAACACTATAGAACCATGCTTAGACTAAAGTAACACAACTTGAAGCTTTTTTTACCATGCCTCAAACACATGTACCCATACTTTAAACAAAAGCGTTGCTTTGCACTCTAGTTGCAATTCTCCAACACACTTACTCCTTTATGCAACACACTTGGTCCTTCATACTACACTCTATTTCATACATAAGACACTTTGTTCAAAAATGAAATCTCAGGGTGCCATTTGGAAAACACATGTATTCAAAATACAAAACACATTGGGTTATTGCAACCACTCAAATACACATCCGAAGGCACTTAATTGCAAAACTGAACACCAATCAGCCAGCTACAAAAAGCCCTCAGTTTAGCCATTTGAAGAACTTTGCAAGCATGGATAGAGGGAGGGAGGGCAAGAGGAAGAGGAGGAGGAGGAGGTCAAGGTCAAAGAGGCCATGCACGGACTCTGATGATATACTGTAAGAGCAACTTTGGTGGACCACGTAAACAACCATGGCCTGATGATGAGGGAGGCTGGGCAGAGAGTCCAGCCACATTTACATAAGGCGCTTCACAGTGACATCTATAATAAGAACATTCCGACTAGAAAACAGGTATGTCTTCACCTCTCTACCTTCTACTCCACTCAGATGGTATTTACAGCACTATAGTGTATATCACATCAATGACTAGAAGACCTTTTGGGAGAGGACGCCAACGCCTGTTCACACAACAGAAGGAACTCACCATTGTGGACCTAGTGAGGGCAGACAATGCCATCCGTCTCCACCAGAAAATACTTGCTGACAGAACAGTGTTCAACAACATAAACCATGTAAGGATCACCAACATCAGACGCATCTTGGGAAAACACAGCATCACCATGAAGCAGCTCTACAGAGCCCCATTTGAGAGGAACAGTGACAGGGTCAAAGGACTTCGAGCTGAATATATATGGGTAAGTGTAACTGTCGTTTACATGTACAATGCAGTAATGGTGAAATCCAGTACCAGCTGAATATGCACCATATCAGGACCACATGGATCTATTTGGAGAGCTTCACAGGTACCTGTGATGGGGTGAGCTCTATACTGCATGCAACAACCAACATATACTCACATTTCTAGATGCTCTCCATAATGTATGTATACTGTAATATATATAGTGTTTTTTCTATTACAGTATTACTGTATTATATATATTTTTTTTGCTTTATCTGAATTTATCTTACTGCAATGTACAGTGCTGCAATGTACAATATTGAGAAGGCCTGTTTGCTTTTTTGGTTGTTTGAAAATGTTCCTCCTGAAAATATGCCTTCTGAATAAACAGTCAAAATCAAAGACTGCAGTGTTTTATATAAAGTAGACTAGTGTGTTCCCTCTGATCTGAAAGTGTTAGCATATGGTGCAAGTATGTGTCATTTTGTCATCAGAGTTACATTTTGACAAAGGAATGTTAGGTTTTGATCGTAGAGTTTCAATTTGACACAGATGTCGATGGTATATTTTCCAGTGTTGTGTCATGTTTACTTGTGTGTAGAGTTTTGGCACAATGAGCGAAATTTTGCAAAATGTGTTCAAGCAATAGGCAAAAACTGTATTTGATCAAAAATACAGTAAAATATTACAATTTAAACAGCTGTTTTCTGAATTTATTCCTGTGATCAAAACTGAATTTTCAGCATCATTACTCCAGTCTTCAGTGTCACATGATCCTTCATAACATGCTAATTTGATGCTCAGGAAACTGGTCTTTTCTGTTGTTATTTTTTTTTTCTATTTTTAAGAGTTATGCTTAAAACAAGAAAAACTAAAAATGTATTATGCATAGACAGCTTTTTATCACAGAAATATCCCAGTTTAAATTGAATTACATGTACAGTATATGTACAGTATATAGTTCTGTATTTAATGAATACAAGTATATTTCCGTCATCTTGGATGGATCTACATCTATCTATCTATCTATCGCTCTCTGTGTGTGTGTGTGTGTGTGTGTGTCTGTGTGTGTGAGAGAGTGTGTGTGTGTGTGTGTGTGTCTGTGAGAGTGTGTGATTGTGTGTGTGTGTGTGTGTGTGTGTCTGTGTGTGTGAGAGAGTGTGTGTGTGTGTGTGTGTGTGTGTCTGTGAGAGTGTGTGATTGTGTGTGTGTGTGTGCGAGAGATGTTGACCCGCCTCTAATGGCTCAGATGATAGATCAGTTGTGTGCTGATGATAATTAATTCTCTCTGTGTGTTTCCAGGAGGGGTCGCGCTGACGGTCTGTCAGTCAGATGGTACTCAGGAGAGTCTTTTGTTTTGAATAGGGGAAAAATCTGAGCCGCGGAGAAGAGATTCCCAGCCCGATCAATTCCCTCTAACTACACTATTGATTAGCTGCAGTAACATTTTTCATTTATTAATTATGAGGAATATGTACTTGGAAGTGTCTCTCGCTCTCCTGATAGGGTCATCAGCCATGAGCTGATATCATTTGGTGCTCGTATGAGTGTGTTATAGACATATTGTCGTCATTAAGGACACACTGACACGTCTTTGTCTCTGAAATATGACACTGCACCTTCTATACTTCTCTTTCTGAAGGAGGTTTTATTTTTAGGTTTCAGATGATTAAATGCTGCTTTTAATGGTGTTATATAATGAGATAGATAGATAGATAGATAGATAGATAGATAGATAGATAGATAGATAGATAGATAGATAGATAGATAGATAGATAGATAGATAGATAGATAGATAGATAGATAGATAGATAGATAGATAGATAGATAGATAGATAGATAGATAGATAGATAGATAGATAGATAGGTTTGGATCACATCTGTTTTGGGAGAGTTGTTTATTTTCCAGGATCTCAAAAGAAACACTTGTTCTGTTTCAGTACATAGAGACCCTTGAGGCTGTCTGTGGTTCACAGGTTTAAAGATGTGTTAATAATATCCTTCATGTGTGTGTGTGTGTGTGTGTGTGTGTGTGATGCATATTGATTGGCTAATACTCACAGCTCA